AATTCGGCGATCCCACCACGAAGGATCTGCCCAAGAGACACGGGGGCCGGGGGCCCCAGGCAGTGCGCACAGGGATGCTGGTAGCAGTGTTGTCCCTAAATGCCAAGATGGAAACTGCCCAAGCGTTTGTCAGTAGTAAAATGGATATGTACGCTGTGGTACATGATGCAGTGGATGTCAGGCTGCAACGAAAATTCATAAGCACCCCAGTGAATCCCAGGGGTGTGACACCGCGCAAAACAACAAGCACAAAACAGTGCATGGCCTGGTTCCATTCACAAAAAGCTCCAAAAATCGGGAGCCTGTTTAACAGGTGACGGCGCTGAGGGATGCACTCGTAGGTCATCAAAATGTACACAGGAACTTGGGATTGATTGCTGGGTGTGGATCAGTCAGGGTGGGGGTCCCAGCTGGGAAAGAAGGGGGGCGGGTCAGAAGGAGCCCCTGGGGGCTTCTAGGGGTCTGGACAAAGTGCTCCTTCTTGATATTTTATGGCTAAATTGATGGGTGATTGTTTTGTGAAGATTCATCAAGCTGTACATTTAAAAAAAATGTTACTTTTAATTGACTTTGGGCAGTATTCTTGCATTATATTTCACATTTAAGAAGTTTTTGTTTAAAGAAATCCTTTCTTTCCTATAGGTCACGGACAGCTCACTATTTTTGGCTAAAAGTCATCGTTACTACTTTGAAAATATTCGATTTTCTCTGGCTGCTTCGAAGGCATTTTCCTCTGTCTCTGGTGCTGCACAGTTTGGTTGTGATGTCCTCAGTCAGGGATTTAGTGTTCTATTGTGTGGGCTTCCCTGATCTCGAACTAGGGGGTTGATGGAGCTTATCAACTGTGGGCCATTTTCAGATGCTGTTTCCAGTGACTACGTCTGCCTCTCCCACCATCACAGCCTCTCTGGCCAGTCTCCCAGGAGCACATCTCCCGTCCTGGCTGCCAGCCGCCCCTGACCACCCCTGCAAAGCCTCCAGCTCAGCAGGTGGATGTGAAGCGGGGGATGGGGAGGAGATTCCTGTCCCTTTTCTGTCTCAGAACAGTTCCCCTCTCCGCCCAGTCCCTGTCAAGGGCAGTTCCTCTCATTCTGAGGTCCAGTGCAATGGAGCTCGCCTCAGTGGGCCCTGTGGTTTGGTGGAGTCAGAGACTTCCCCAGCCCCTTGTGCCCCTATCCATCTGAGCTGTCAGCTGCACGCTATGGGAGCCAGGAGGACCCCAGGGAGCATATATTCCTGGTCTCTAAAGCCCCCGTGGGACTGCTGAGCACATGCAATTAGGAAAGAATGTTATGCAGATCTCCCATGTCTGGAGAACAGGCATCAAGCTCTGCTGCCTGCTGGAGTGGGCAGTGGCTTGGCAAGGGCAGGGGAGCCTAGAGAGCTCTGGGCCACTGTGGTCACAGGAAAGGAGGCTTGGGGATGACCCTATAGCACATCCTCCCCAATGCACACACATTCTACACATGCACACAGCCACACACAGCACACATACACAATACACACATGCACACATACATGCACACATGTACACACAACACACACATGCACATAGTCACGCATGCACATATTCACAATCCACACATGCACACAGTCACACACACATGCACACAGTCACACACAGCACATATACACACATACACAGCCACACACATGTGTACACAACACACACACATACATAGTCACACACATGCACACAGTCACAAACATGCACACACAATACATCCACACACATGCATACACATGTACACACAATACATACACATGCATGCACAGTCACACACATACAATCACACAAAGCACATTTACACACAGGCACACAGGCACATATGCACATACTTGTACACACAACACACACATGCACACAGTCACACACACATGCACACATAGCATGTACATCACATGCAGTCACACACATGCAAACACATGTACAGTCACATACATGCAAACACATATACACATAATATATGCATGCAATTAGTCACACACACATGCAGTCACACACAGCACATGCACACATGCACACAGTCACACATAATCAGTCACACACACACACATACACAGACAAAAGCACACATGCACACACACTACACACACACATGAACACATGTGCAGTCTCACATAAGCACAGTCACACGGACATGCAACACACATGCACAGTCACACACACACACACACACACACAGATGCACAGTGAGGCTCAGCCTTTACACTCCCCTCAGTCCTGATCCTTTATTTATTTATTCATTTATTTATTTATTTCTTTATTGAGACGGGGTCTCGCTCTGTCACCCAGGCTGGAGTGCAGTGGTGCAATCATGGCTCACTGCAACCTTGAGTTCCTGGGCACAAGCGATCCTCCTGCATCAGCCTCCCAAAGCACTGAGAATATAAGCATGAGTCACTGCGCCCAGCCCCAATCCTTTTAAACTGGGCTGTTGGGCTGGGGTCCCAAGGGCAGTGACCAGGGCAGCATGGGGAGAGGGGAGGGCAGGGAAAGTCACCTGACTCCCAAAAGATACAGAAATATATGGAGGCACACAGGGAGAAGGACAGAGAGAGACAGCGAGAGGGGGATTCTTTCTTTCATTCATACAATGTTTATTGAACGTCCAATGTTTGCCAGGCACTGTGCAAAATCACATAAAAATGAGGCGGGAGGAGTGCAGTGGACAGGGAGCGCCAGCAGGTCAGGCATGAGTACAGACAGGCAGAGACACAGACTTCGAAGCCGGACCCCAGTGCTGGAGCTGACGCCTGCTTGCTTGCCTGCTGAGGGCGAGAATGCACCTGCTATGGGGGCCTGACCTCACTGTGGACACCCACCGCGGGAGCACCAGTCTTCCCCCGGTCCCCAGGGTGTGGAAACCAGGGGCCTTTGTAGCCCCACATTGCCCGGAGTTGGATACAAACATCCCAAGAGCTAGGGGTGCCTCTACTGGCTGGAAGGTAACTGTTCCATTTCCCCAGCATGAACTCAGAAAGCTTCAGCCAGGCACAGGCACGTCCCAGGGAAAAGCTGGCTGAGGGCTTCCCTAATGCAGGTGTGTTTCCTCCTGGCCCCTGTCCCAGGCAGCCACCAGCACTGGCATTGAAGGCTTAAGGAAAATAGGGAAAGAAAGCATTTGCCCCTCTACTTTCTTCCCTCCCAGGCATAACTTGGACGACACCTGGACACTGGGGTTGGCCTTAGCTGACCTCATGACCCAGGACCCAGGTCTCCCCCAGGTGCCCCAGGAATTAGAAGCTAGGACCCTCTCTCTTCCAAGGCCCAGCAGCCTCTGCCATCATTTTCCAGCCCAGGCTCATTCAGGAAAGCCTCTGGGTCTAATGGTGAAAGCATCCAAAGTGCCCACAACCGGGTTGCCCACATGCTCGGTGAGGCGTTCAGCCGCCCCTGGCACCTCTCCCACCATCCTCCAAGAGGCACGATGACAGCTCCATGCAGCCCTGTATCAGCCTCGCAGCCGCCGCCTCCTGCCCGCCCATCCCACCACTGCCTAGGGTGAAGGGTCAGTGCTCAAGAGTCCCACATGGTCCCCACCCTGTCCCCTCTCTCGACTCGGACCCCCAAGCCTTCCCGTTTTGAGGTCACGCACTCCCTTTCCCTCCCCTCTTCCCTGAGCAACCCCTCCACCTCCGCCTGGGCTGCAACCCAGGCCCATGGGCAGGTGTTGGCCATCCTGCCTTCCTTTGCAGGTTTCTGGGTCAAGACTGTGACCTGCCTCTTGCTCACTGCACTCCTGCCACGGTATGCCCTGTCTTCTGCGTCTGTCCCATCTGCTGCTAACTCAAGGTCCTCCCTTCCGAGGCATCCCACGTCTCCAGCCCAGAAGGCTCTTCCCTTCTCTGCTTGGCGTCTCAAAGTCAACATCTTCTTCTCCCTGGTTTCCTGCTGTTGGTACACAGCCCTCTCTACCCACTGGGCTGTCCAAGTCAAGGGGCAGGAATCCTCCAGGCTTCTCCCCCAGCTTACCTCCCAAACCAGTCAACCCCACCACCTGCACAGCTGCCAGGCGCCCTGCTGTCCAACCCTCTGCTGCTGGCCCCAGCCCAGGCTCAGCTCCTCCACTTGCATCCACCTCTGTCCATTGGGATCCCCTCCAAGCTGGCCTCGCTACCCCGGAGGGCATGATCTTCCCAAAACACGAAGCGCACGGCCATGCCCCTTCCCTGGGAAAGTTCGCCTGCCTTCCCAGGGGATGATAAGTCCTTCCCACTGCACACCTGAGCTGTGGGATTTCCTGCAGTTTCCCAGACCAGCGGGGCCCCCACAGCGTGAGGCTCTGCACCCATGGCCAGTGCCTCATCTTCTTCATCTTCACCTCCCCGCCTCCTTCGTGTGCCTTGACACCCTGCGCTTTTCCTAGTGCACCCTCATCAGACTTGTCTTCAGGGCTGACCGGCACCCCCATGACTCTGCCTGAGTTCCAAGGGGACAGAGCCCATCCCTGCATCCTGCCTTCCACATTGCAGACTGCACGTGCCATGGACTGGGATGGCACGGGTCTCAGCCTTTGAACAGCATCTTCAGTTGATTTTCACAGTGATTGTAGAAGTGAAAGGTCATTTTCCTATGTTACAGTTAAGGAGATGGGCACGAGAGAGGTAAAGGGGCCTGCCTGGGTCCCAGAGCCCTCCAGGAGGGACAGGGGTTAGCCAGGGGTCTATCGTCTCTGCCTGCTGCTTCCTTCTGAGTGAATGTGTGGTTTCCTTTGCTCTGATTTGGCCAACGCAGGCAGCTGAGGCTGTGCTCTACCCACTTCCGTCCCCCCAGGAGGCTGCCTGACCCTCTAAGGGACTCGAGTTTGGGGTACCTCCACCAAATGCCCACCCTCCCCATTCACCGTCTGGCACAGCTGTAATGGGGCAGACTGTCTCCTGCAGTCCGCTGTGACACAGTGCCAGGGGCCCTGACCACCAGGCAGTTCCTGAAGGAGGCTTGCAAAGCTTCCAGACTTTTCCAGGCCCTGCCAGGGACACAAAGTAGAAGGCTGGGCTGGAGCTGCATGGGTATTTCATTGAAAGTTCACAGACACGAGGGCTCTGAGCAGGGTCACAGCGTGGAGGAGGCAGGGACAGGGAGCATAGAGTGAGTCGTCTCATCCTGGGACACTTTTGCCTAAGCCCTTCCTGCTAGGTGTCAGGTCCAAAGAGCCCCAGGAGCCTGGGAAGGGGCACGTGAGGGCAGGGACACAGACACTGGAAGCCAGGGTGCAGCAGTGAGGGGAGAAGCCCCCAGGCCCCAGACACAGGCAGGGCGGAGGCCAGGAGGCGGAGGGGGTGGGCTGAGGGCCAAGCTCACTGCCCCCTTGCTGTACTCAGCTTCTGATGGCCTTGCTGCCCGGTTCACAGCTCAAGGGAGCCCCAGGACAAGAAGCTCTGCCCTGCCCCAACCTCATGGGATCCTGCGTTTCAGGGACCATGAGAATAAACATGTCTCAGTGCTTGTCTCCACCAGCGGATGTGCCTGGCAGGCCTTAGTAGTCGGTGAGGGGGTACCGCAGGAAGATGAAGACGAGGATGATGCAGGAGGCTGCCAGGGCAGAGCTGGTGATGTTGAACAGCCGGGCCGTCTTTGCATCCTCCACGGCTCCATTCAGGTCATTGAGAAGCTTCTTGTCTCGCACCTGAAGCCGGGAGGAGGAGAGGAAACAGGCAGTCAGCCAGGGAGCAGGGCCCCGGAGCAGCCAGGAGCCCAGCAGGGCCAGTGCCGCAGCACTCAGCACAGTATCAGTGTCTTGTTTCCGAGAGCTGACAAATGAACTATGGTTCTGGAGGACGATGTCTCTGCCCTGGGGTACCAGACACTGATGAACTTAGGGGCACAGGGGCATCATGTCTGAAACCTCTCAACCCTCTACTGGTTTATAAAGTAGGTAAGATGTATTTATATAGAGAGAGAAAAGCAAATATGGTAAAATGTTAACATTTGGGACATCTGGGTGAAGGATGTAAAGAAATTCTTTTCCCTTTTTGCAAGTTTTAAATGATCAAAATAAAAGAAGTTGGCCTCAGAGAGAATATGATTGGAGGATGGGGTGACACAACTCTCTCCTAATTTGATTGGTTCTGCTTAGTTTAAAATTAACTGGGATGCCCTGAGGACGAGCGTTGTGCATTGACAGGACAGCAATCTCCAGGGCCCTTGGGGAGGGATATTAAGGTGAAGGGAGTGGGCTGGCACTCAGGAAGTCCTGGGGAGGCAGTGGACTGAGCTAGACTCATTTCCAAGAAGCGACCTTCATTCAGAATGAGTTATAGGGCCCTCCCTCCTCAGCACTCTTTCTTTCTATCACATCCACAGACATGTGCGTGAGTTTGCTGTAAGAAGAAACCCGGATGAGGAAGGGAAAGAGAATGGAAAGAGAGGAAGAGAGGAAAAGGCAAAAAGTCTTTGCCTTAGTAGATTGGGGCTGGGCTGAAAGAAGGAAGGTGGGTAGATAGATACTGGGACTGACTAATGCCTGGATCCCTCAGTGCACAGATTAGGCAGATGGACAGGAGACCCAGGTCAGAAGAGTGGACGGACAGAGGATAGATGGGCGGTCAGGGCAATGGGTGCGTAACTGAGTGGAAGAATGGAAGCATGAATGGTTTGGCCTGTGGGTGGATGGATGGAAGAGGCAGAATAGTGGAAGGAACAAAGGGAAAGGAGAGAAAAAAGAGGATAGAGGGAGTGGGGAAGGGAAAGAGAGAACGCAATTCAGTGGAGTGGAATGGAGTGAAGTGGAGTAAATGCAGTGAAGTGCAATAGAGTGGAGTGGATGGAGTGGAGTGATGGAGTGAATGCAGTGAAGTGGATGGAGTGGATGGATAGAGTGGAGTGAGGTGGAGTGAAGTGGAGTGGATGGATGGAGTGGATGGAGTGGAGAAGATGAAGTGGAGTGGATGGAGTGAATGGAGTGGAGTGGATGGAGTGAATGGAGTGGAGTGGATGGAGTGAATGGAGTGGAGTGGATGAAATGGATGGAGTGGAGAGGATGGAATGGATGGAGTGGAGAGGATGGAATGGATGGACTGGAGTTAATGGAATGGATGGAGTGGATGCAGAGGAGTGGGTTGAAAGATGGAGTGGAGTCAATGCAGTGGAGCTGGAATAAAAGTTGGAGAGAGAAGGGATGGGAGGGAACAAGGTCAAATGAGCAAGTAGATAACTTGGAAGATAAATTGTACAGAACGTGCTATCAAAATGGAGAGATCAACGATGTGAAGAAGCAGGTATTGAGGAATCAGGGTAGGGAAGGAGGCAGGAAGAAAGTCTATGCTCTCATTGGGTTCTCATGCTAGTGGTTTCGGAGGAAACTGACATCTGATTGAAATTTGTATTCCTTTCTAAGGACTGAATGTGTCACCCACTTATTGAGGTCTTATTTGATGCCTTTGTTAAAATAAAGTTGTATAACTTTCTCCAGAAAGAGCTATTACATCTTTTGTTAGACTTAGTCTATTTGTTTTGGTTTTTATTATCATGTAAAAGTATATTTTAAAATTGTATGTCTAATTGATTTTGTATCCAGCTAAACTATCATATTGTACTAATTGACAACGTGTTCTTAATAATAAATCATATCAACAGCAAATACTAATAGTTCTATTTCCTCCTTGCAGTCTATTCCTAGACAGCACAGCATAGAGGTTAAAGCACAGACGCAGGAACACTGACTGGATTTCAATCCTGATTCTGTGGGTCACAGAGTGTGCAGCCTTAGGCAAGCTAACAACTCACTCTTCTGCTCCTCATTTCCTCATTTGTGACATGAAGATGACAACAGCGCTGCCTCCCAAGTTTGTGGAAAGCCTTAATGAATTGATGGATGTGAAACTCCACCACAGAGCCTGGCCAAAGTAAGCTCCTCTCATGGAGGCAAAGAAGATCCCAGAGTGATCCCAGTGGGCAGCTATGAGGACAAGCAGCTGAGTCTCATTCTTGACCTCAATGTACCAGGAAGGATAATGCTCATCTTATCATTAGAGGTCTATGATTGCATTAGAATTTCCGCAAGATAAACATATTTTTTCTTTCTCTAATTCATTAACAAGGTAGATTATAATTCATTGATTTTCTTATACCAAGACAACTCTGAATTCCTAAAACAAACTTTTGGTCATGATTTCTTTTTTGGATACTTGGAGTGAGGAATAACGTGGCAGAGGGAGGGTGAAACACCGGGTGTCAAAAGTGGATGGAGTGGCGGGCAGGAGGCTGAGGCAGCTGGGGTATTGGGTGCATGGAAAATGGTGGCCACAGCTAAAGAAGATAGGGAAGAGGAGGGCGGGGGAGTGATCCCGGAAAGGTGGGTGGATGGAGCTGAGGGGTTATATGGATGGAGACTGGGTGTATGGGACAGAGAAATGGATGTAGAAACTTGTGCTGGGTAGGGAGGAGGGCTGGATGGATATAAGAATGTACGCTGGATGAGTGGGACAGGCAGATAGCTGAATTTATGAATACGATGCTTCTTGATGTACAATGGGGCTACAGTCCAATAAATCCATCATAAGTTTAAAGTGTCGTAATTGAACATTTCATATGCATTTTCGTATGATGCGTTTTTCACAAGCCCAGTAAACTGAGGAGCGTACTGAGTGCCTATGGGTTTCCTGCCATTGTGAAGTTGAAAAATCATATGTCAAACCATCATAAGGTGGGGACCGTCTGCACATGCTGGATGGGGGAACAGGACTATAGACGAACATATGAATGTATGTCCAAATGGACAGATGGATACGCAAATGTATGCCACGTGGGTGGGGCAGCTGGGTAAGTGGGTAAGTGAATGGCTGCTGGATGGGAGGTGATGTGTGGATATGTGAGAGCATGTTCAGTGGGCAGGACGGGCAAATAGATGAATACACGAGAATGTGTGCTCATGTGTTCATGGTGGCTTGGACCAGGGCAGTGACAGTGAAGGTGGAGAGACCCGGCCAACTTCTGGACATGTGTTGAAGGTGGAGCTGACAGCGTTTGCTGGGATCAGGTTTGCAGTGTGATAAAAAGAATGGAGGCCGGGCTCGGTGGCTCACGCCTGTAATCCCAGCACTTTGGGAGGCCGAGGCGGGTGGATCATGAGGTCAGGCGTTCAAGACCAGCCTGGCCAAGATGGTGAAACCCGTCTCTACTAAAAATACAAAAAAATTTGCCGGACACGGTGGCAGGCGCCTGTAATCCCAGCTGCTCAGGAGGCTGAGGCAGGAAAATTGCTTGAACTTGGAGGGTGGAGGTTGCAGTGAGCTGAGATCATGTCACTGCACTCCAGCCTGGGTGACAGAGTGAGACTCCATCTCAAAAAAAAAAAAAAGACTGGAACTTCAAGTGATTTCAATGAATGGACAGGTGGTTACAGGAATACAGGAACAGATGCCAGACTGGAGGGGCAGGTGCACAGATGGGTTTCTGAATGCCCGCTGGATGGCTGGAGCAGGTCCATGGCTGGATATAGTAATGGACACTGGATGGCTGGGACGGATCCATGAGCTGAATGGGTGGAACAGGTAGATAAATGAATTTATGATATGTTTTGAATGGGTAAGACTGGTGGATAATAGGAAAGAGCGTTGTTGATAAATATAGCATAGACCACTGGATGGTAGATGGGTACACAGATTCATTAATCAATCAATCAACCAATCATCAATCAATATTTACTTAGTGCTTGCTCTGAGTAGTTGCTATTCTAGGTCCTGCTTATATTACAAGGAATAAAACAGAGTCTCTGTCCTCATGCAGCTTACATTGTAGGGAGAAGATACAGAAAATAAACACAATAAATAAGTAAAACATGTAATGTGCTCAGTGTGCTAAAAAGAAACCCGAAGAGGCTCAAGGGAACAGAGAGTGCTGTAGGAGGTGCGAGTCTAGCTCGGTGGCCAGGAAAGACCTTGTGGGAGATATTTGAGGAAAGACCAGAATAATGTGACAGACTCGGCCATGTGTTCATCCACAGGGAGGCACGTCCTGGGCACATAGAGCTCTATGTGCAGGGCCCGGTGCCTCTGAGGACTAGGTGCAGAGTAGGGGCAGCAGATCACAGAGAGAAGGGGAGGACATATGGTCAGAGGAGACCATCCAGGAGCACGGTGCAGGCTCTGAGGGTGCTTTTTAGTCATTTAGAGCCGGAAAGATGAACGTGATATGACATATGTGAACCAGGCAGTGCTGGCCGCTGTGCTAAGAACAGACGGTGGGGGCCGGGTGCAATGGTTCACGCCTGTAATCCCAGCACTTTAGGAGGCCAAGACAGGCAGATCACGAGGTCAGGAGTTCGAGACCAGCCTGACCAACATGGTGAAACCCCGTCTCTACTAAAAATACAAACATTAGCCTGGTGTGGTAGGGTGTACCTGTAATCCCAGCTACTCGGGAGGCTGAGGCAGGAGAATCGCTTGAACACAGGAGGCGGAGGTTGCAGTGAGCCGATGTCATGCCACTGCACTCCAGCCTGGGCAACAGAGCAAGACTCCATCTCAAAAAAAAAAAAAAAAGAAGGGATAGCTGAACAGGCAGAGAGAGGTGGATTGAATGGTCCAGGGAAGGGTGAGGGTGGCTTGGACAGGGCAGCAGTGGTGAAGGTAGTGAGACTTGGCCAGCTCCTGGACATGCATGGAAGGTGGAGCTGATGGTGGTTGCTGGGATCAGGTATAGAGTGTGATAAAAAGCATGGAATCTGACATGATCTCAAGGTTTTTGGGGTTTGATCAACTGAACAGGGAGCTGTAGAAGGCTGCAAAAGGAAGACTCATTTAGCAGTTCAATTTCTGACATGTCAAGTTAGGAATGCCCTTTACACATACAGTAGACATTTGGCGTAGCACTTTGTGTGAGTCTGGAGTTCAGAGATGAGGTCTAGGGCAGAGATATAAATTTGAGAGGCATCAGCAGAAAGATGGTATTTAAAACTGATATAGTTTGAACATCTGTCCCCGCCGAATCTATGTTGCAGCGATCCCCGGTGGTGGAGAGGGCCTGGCGGGAGGTGTTTGGGATATGCGTGTAGGTCTCATGGCTTGATGCTGTCCTCACCATAGTGAGTGAATTCCTGAGAGCTGGTTGCTTAAAAGTGTGAGGCACCTCCCCGTTATCTCTCCCTTGCTCCCACTCTCGCCATGTGAGATGCCTGCTCCCACTCTGCCCTCCACCATGACTGGAAGCCTCCTGAGGCTTCCCCAGAGGCAGATACCAGCACCATGCTGCCTGTACAGCCTGCCAAATTAAACCTCTTTTCTTATAAATTACTCACTCTCAGGTGTTTCTTTACAGCTGTGTAAGAATGGCCTAATACTAAAGCCATGGTACTGGATGGGGCGCCAAGGGAGTGAACGTGAAGGAAGGAGAGGACAGAGGGCTGAGCCCTGGAGACCCGCAGTGACAGAAGGTTAGGGAGCCAAAAGCAATTAGGAAAGGGGCTCGAGAAGAGTGGTCCAAGAAGCAGGGAAAGCAAAGGGGGTGCAAGGGTGCTAGATGGCGGAATGGGCTGAGAAGCATAAGCAGAGGTGGGACATAGAGGATGGGGCAGCCATGTGGGTGCAGGGGCAATGGATGGTGCTGGGTGGGTAGAGGAGAGGGAGGAGGAGAGCGGGAGAGAGAACAGGCTGATGGCTGGGAGTTGAGTGAGTCCATCGAAGCAAGGAAGGAAGGAAAATGGAAGGACATTCTGATGATGAATTGAGGGCTAGGTGGCCAGGCAGTTCTTCTATGACTGTGAATATTGACGGATGACAGATGGGTGAATGTGTGAAGGAAAAAGAGTAGGGATGGGCAGATGGGTACAGAGAGGAACTGGCTCTGGCTATAGAGATGGACGGGACAGGTCACTGGAGGAACAGGGGAGAGGAAACACAAGGAAGGGATGACATGAAAGTGGATGAAAGGGCAATGTTATGGTCTAATGTTCATGTCCTCCAAATTCCTGTGTGAAATCCTAACCCCTAAAGTGATGGTAGCAGTTGGGGCTCTTGAGAGGATTAGGTCATGCATGGGATTGGCACCCTTATAAAAGGGGCCCCAGAGAAGCCCTAGGATTTACTGGCAAATAAGGACACAGAAGTTGACAGCCTGCAACCCAGAAGAGGGTCCTGATCAGAACCTGACCATGCTGGCACCCTGGTCTCAGACTTCCAGCCTCCAGAACAGTGAGAAGTTAATACCCAGAGTTTATAAACCACCTAACCTATGATAATTCGTTACAGCAGGCTGGACAGGCTCATGCCACTCAACTTGGAGGCACATGAATGGGAGACATGAATAAAGCAAAGGAAGGAAAGGCGAGATAGATGTGGCTGGAAGGTCAGATGGGCAATGGACGAGAGGAAACAAAGAATGGAAATTTTACGGCTGAATGATTAGCTATATTGGTAAAGCAGGTAGGCGGATGGTAGAAAGAATGAAGGGGGTAGAAGGGGAGAATGCGTGGCTGAAAAGTGGGGCAAAAGGAAGGAAAAGAAAAAAAATGAGAGGGAAAAGAAGAACGTGAGAAATTGATGCATGAACAGTGAGAGACAGGGTGGATGAGGAGGGAGGGAATAGAGAAAGTGACAGTGGCTGGATTGTGCTGACAGATGGGGTGAGCTGAGGCACGCTGAGTATGAAGAAGGCAGTGAATGGGTGAGTGTGACTCAGTTTGGGGAGCAGCAGGAGGAAGGGTGGGTGGATGGCTTGAAGGGTGAATAAATGTGTTGCCTTGTGAGGTCACAGCCATATGAGGTCACAGGATAGAGGGATGATTGGGTCTATTGACAGGTAGGGCTGGGAAGAAAAGTGGGCAATTACTAAGAAAGTGAGGCTAGATGAATAGTTTAGTGGGTTGATGCAGAAGGTTGGTGGGGACAGGATGGGAGAGCAGGGCAGGGAGGGGAGCCTGAATGATCATGTGTGAACACAGGTAGATGGAAGCTTGGGTGGCTCTTTGGAGGAGTTGAAAGGAATGTGGGAGGATGGATTGAATATAAGTTTGGATGAATGGACAGAGGGAGGATGGACAGATGGATGGACAGATGATGGATGGATGGGCAGATGGAGGATAGATGGATGGACAGATGGAGGATGGATGGGTGGATGGATAGATGGATGGATGGTGGATGGATGGATGGATGGATGAATGGAGGATGGATGGAGGATGGATGGATGAACAGATGGAGGATGGATGGACAAATGGATGGATGGATGAAAGATAAATGGATGAATGGATGGAGGGTGGATGGATGGGTGGATAGAAGATGGACAGATGGAGGATGGATGGACAAATGGATGGATGGATGAATGATGGGTGGATGGATGGAGGGTGGATGGATGGGTGGATGGAGGATGGACAGATGGAGGATGGATGGATGGAAGATGGATGAATGATAGATGGATGGATGGATGGAGGGTGGATGGATGGGTGGATGGAGGGTGGATGGATGGGTGGATGGAGGATGGATAGATGGAGGATGGATGGATGGAAGATGGATGAATGATAGATAGATGGAGGATGGGAAAGATCAATGTGTGATGCTGATATTCAGAAAGGAGTGAGTGGGCGAGTGTGTACACCGAAAACCCAAGGCAGAACCCACCCACCTAACCTGTTCTTTCTGATCGCCCTGTCACTGGAAGGTCTCACAGCCTCCTGGGCTCACATCTAGCAGCTGCTGTGTCCTGGCCACACCTGTTCCTCCTCTCCCACCCCCATCCCCAGCTCACAAGTTCTTCCACCTGGACCACCACACTGGGACTTGAACCCTCTGCCTCGAGGCTTGACTTGTCCCCTTCCCCTACACTGGTTGCAGATTTCATGGCACTGATCATATCCTTCTCTTCCATGTCTCCTATAGATGAGAGCCCAGCCCCTCACGAGGTTTTCAAACCCCTCACTGCACTGCCTCAGGCACTCTTCTAGGACTGTCTTCTATTTCCCACCGAGGACAGGGGCCTTGCCAACCCCCTCGACTGCCCCACCTATGTGTCTTAGTTTATGCCCTTTCCCCCGCCTGAAACACCTTTCCCCTCACCAAGCTTCAAGGCCCGGTGAAATTGCTGCCTCCTCTTAGAAGTCTTCCAGCCTCACCCCAAACTGGGAATGAAATATTCCTTTTCTGAAACACTGTGGTGCTTCTTCCGTCTCATGTGTCCTCTGTCCACAAACATGCACACTCAGGTACATACACAAAGCACATATGCACACACCCTCACACACTTGTGTACACACATTTACATGTGCCATGCACACTCGTGCGATTACACACACATGCACACACACTCAGGTACATACACAGCACACATGCACAGACCCTCACACACTTGTGCACACACATTTACACGTGCCATGCACACTCATGTGTGATTACACACACATGCACACTCGGGTACATACATCATGCATGCATGCACACCCTCACCATTAGGTCAACATGTCTTGATCCATTGTTGGCCAGCTCTGCCTTGAGCACAGGTTGGCTGGGGTGAACAGATGTGGCTGGGGCAGGACTGTCTCTGGAGGCTTTGCAGAAGAGAGACCCAAATCTCACAAAAGCTCTCCAGGCTGAGGATGTGCATATGCAGACCGGGCTGTGCACCTCGCTCACGTCACATTTGCCGAGTGACCAGGGCGGGGAACTGCTGAGGCCAGAAGGGTTAAAAACGCAGCTTGGATGCTGAGATGAGACATTTGACCATCATCCAGCTGACCGCGGGAGCCAGTGGTCATCAGGAGGCAGCGTGTGGAGGCGGCATGAATGGAGAATTGACTTTCTGTATCTCTGCCTTCCCCGGACACCAGGCTGTGCAAAATAAGGCTCCAATCTCCGCGCTGCAGATCCAGCCTGCGTTGAGCTGAATTGGCCCATGTGGGTGGGGGGTGGATGGATGGCTCGATGGGTGGATGGACACGTGGGGGCAGGCAAGGACACGCTGTCTATTTTGTACCACTGCATGCGGGCCTCCGCCCTGCTCATGTGTGCTGGCTTGAATGTTGTTTTGTTTCTATTTGTTTTGGGAACAGATGAGGGAACGGGCTCAGTGAGGCAAGATGGCTTGTCTGTCCCAAGAGCTCGGATTTTAGCCAAAACCTTCTGACCCCAAGTCCGCCCTGTGCCCTTGGTGTAGGGTGCAGATCAGGAGACCTGCAGCTGCGTGGCCAGATGGATGCATTCCCAGGAGTGGGGTCCACAGCCAGCCACTTCCGTCCTCCCTCCTGCCCAGGATAGAGGCAACTCACCTCGCACCCACTCCCAAGTATGCCCCAAAGCCTCTCTGCCCTGGCTGCTCCCAAGCCCCGCAGGAAGGACTCAGGAGGAGCAGGCCTGGGAGGAGGTGTAATGAGCAGTCCCTGCCCCTCAGAAGGGCCAAGCTCACACCACCCCCAACCCCTGCAGACACCTGGCACCACCCAGAAGTCTCTGACCTACCTACACCCGAGCCAGATGGGCCTGCCCCATGCCAGCCGGCCAGCCACAGCCTGGGCCAAGCGGGAGGAGGGACGGCTTCCGGACAGAGCCCAGGCAGCCAGACCCATGTCCGCAGGCTGTTGGCAGGGCACAGAGAGGGGAGGCAGAGCTCCACCAGCTGCAGCTTCAGCCCCGCAACACCGGAGCTCTCTGCTCAGGATGGGTCTGGGGAGCCACAGCTGGAGCTGGTGGGAGGCATGACCCTCAGTTCCAGGGGTCCCTTTCCTTTGTTGCTTCTACACACACACACACACGCACGCATGTGTGCACGCAGGAATATACACTCACCACACACGCACACATGCTCTCACACACTTGTACACACATTTATATGTGCCACGCACACTCACGTGTGATTACACACACATGCACACTCAGGTGCATACACACATCACACATGCACACACACACACACTTGTACACACACATTTACATGCACCACACACGTGTGATTACAAACATGCACACTGAGGTACATACACAAAGCACATATGCACACATCCTCACGCACGTGTGTATACACATTTACACGTGCCATGCACACTCGTGCGATTACACACACATGCACACACACTCAGGTACATACACACAGCACACATGCACACACCCTCACATACTTGTGCGCACACATTTACATGTGCCATGCACACTCACGTGTGATTACACACACATATGCACACTCATGTACACATATGCATGCACGCACACCCTCACACACTTGTGCACACACATTTACACGTGCCATGCACACACACGTGTGATTACACACGTGCACACTCAACTACATACAGACAGCACATATGCATACACCCTCACACACTTGTGTACACACATTTACACATGCCATGCACACTCATGTGATTACACACACATGGACACACAGGTACATACAGCACACATGCACACATCCTCACACACTTGTGCACACACATTTACACATGCCATGCACACTCACGTGTGATTACACACACATGCACACACTCAGGAACACACATTACACATGAACATACCCTTGCACATTGTGATTACACACACAGGTACATACACACACATCACATATGCACACACGCCCTCACACACTTGGGCACACACATTTACACACACCATGTGCACCCACATGATTACACACACATGCACACATATGCATGCACGTGTGCACACACACAAATACACTCATGCCTACACACATACACATGCACACACACAAAATACATGTACACATTCATGCACACAATGCATCCACATGCACACATACAGTTACACTCACAGCACACGCCCATTTATGCAATTACACTTGAGTACATGCATACACTGGCACGTGCTGGCTCACACACAGGCCCCTGTGTCAGAGCCCAGGGATGGGTCAGCATGCCCGAGGTTGAAGGTGCCCGTGCCAGTGGGCAATGCCGGGGGTTGGCAATGATGATGAGTCAGGAGCAGGACGGGAAAGCCGACGGCAGTTGCGATGCCGGGCGGGGTGGGGCTCGAGCTCAAGGATGGAACAGAGGCGAAGCTGGCCAGGCGTCCTTCCTCCCAACCAGCCTCTGCCCAGCCTCTTCCCTCCCCGTATCCCCTGTCTTCTCCTCCACCCGGCAGGGCAGCTGCACTGGTAGAGTACATCTGGCCTTGGCCACTCAAGTCTGGGCTGGGGAAATGTGATGATTAGGCTAAACGTGAGCCAAGCCCTTCCTTCCGGTGCCTCGGGGTGGGGAGGAGGGCACCGGGGCCTGCCCTCGCCCTCACGCTCCTTTCCCCAGGAAGGGCTCCAGCACCAGACACATTTACACAGGGCTGCCCCCCTCACTGTGAGCCCATCACAGCCTCCCTCCCACCATCTCCATCCCTGTCGCTCCACCTTGACCTCAGGGGGACTGGGTCATGTCTGCCCAGCACCTGCTCTGCTACCAGTCAGCTCTTCTCACAGCACTGAGGTGATTCTGGAAGTCATGCCCTCTCAGGGTGGGGGCTGGGGAGGTGTAGAACCTGTTTACACCCCTCTTCCCTGAGCTGTCCTGGCCACCCAGGACTGGTCTCCACGCATGGCCTGGCAGAGCTGTGTAAGCACCTGCCCTTGGGCTCCGGGTGAGGAGCTGGATAAGAAGGTGGCCCCTCTTCCTTTCCACAGGGGTAGGATTCCAAGCCCTCTTCAGCCCCATGCTGGCCCCATCCCTGTACACGGAGGAGTGGCTGTTGCCCAGGTCTACGTCCCACGTCCCCTGAGCCCGAGCACGGACCCTCTCGGCCCGCCTCCAGCCCCTCCTGCGGGTTCCGCTGTGCTGGCTGAGCAGAAAGCCAGGCTCTGATGGCTCAGGAGAGGGAATGGCAGACCCCTGCCCGCCCAGACCTAGCCAGTACCCCGACCTCTCTGGGACCCGCGATCAGGACCCCTCGCTGTCCTTTGAACACTTGGCCCCTCAATTGCACCTGCTCTACCCGTGTGCTCCCCTGAGAGGGAGAGGGGCTCGGCTTGCCAGCCAGGGACCATCCTGCCGGCACCACCTCTCCAGCCCGCCCTTGCCCCCTGCCGCCGCCCGGGCTCACTTTGAGGGAGTAGGCCAAGGCGATGAAGCCCAGGCAGCAGAAGTTGAGGTAGACGAAGTTGAAGATGGACCATAGGTAATAGTCGTTCACCTCGGTGGTGTCCGGGTAGACCTCGATGACGGTCGTGGGGTTGGTCATCGTCTTCTTCTCGGCTAGGTGCTTGCAGGCCGCGGGCGCGCCGGTGGCCCGCACGCTGTCGGTCTTGCTGCTCTTGGACTCCATGGGGAACAGTGTGGGCGCCATCGGGGGAGAGGCCGAGGGCTCAGGGGCAGGGGCCGCTGGAGCCTGCAGGGCGGGGGGCTTGGACACGCAAGCGAAGCAGCCCTTGGGCGAACCTGCCGGGGGCCTCGGGATCCAGAAGGCCCCGTCCAGGGGGACTCGGGCTTCCTGGGCGCCGTCCGTGGTGCTGGCCGGGGCTCCCAGCGGGGCTGGGCACTGGTCGGGGCCCTGGGCCTGGAGAGGAGACAGTGAGAGCGAGCTGGGCCCGGCCCACCGGCCAGCACCCACCCTCACTCGCGGCGGCCCCGAGAACAGCCCCAGTGGAGACGGAAATCCCTGCGGGGGCCGCCAGCTGCCACCCTGCCACCTGCCTCCCCCACCCGCCCCGGGGCCTCGGCGGCCACAGACGATGCCAAAGCCCTTCGCAGCAGCCTTGGCAGGGACCTGGGGCTTTCATCACTTTGCCATCTGCGCACAAACACTCACCCACTGACACACACAACAGCACCCCCCCAGAAGCACACCGACGCTGAGACTGACACTGTTGCAAAACACAGAGTGCCCCAGCACCCCAAACAACCCCGCACACATGGGGCGCGGGACCCACAGCCACGCTGCCTCAGCCGCCAACCGGCAGAGCGAGCAGAGCGGCCAAAGCACCTGTCCACAGCGCCCGCGGACACCCGATACCGCCACGGGCACCGCCACGGGCACCGCCACGGGCTCCACCGCGGGCTCTCCAGACCCCGGGCGCACCCGCGGGCGCGCTCAGAGCCACTGAGGAGTAAACAACTCCCCACACAAGGCGACGCAGGTTCAGCCACGAGCGCTGAGAACCGGCACAGGTGCGGGGTCTCCAACTCGTGCGCACGGCACCGCCCCCCACCTCCAATCTGGGGACCCCAAGCGCGCACACTTGCCCGGAGCCACGCACCCCCGGGCCATACACAGACGCACAATGACAGGCTGCGAAACGAACACTTCTCCAACGCGGCACCAAGTCGCTCGCGCCCTGCGCCACCCCGCGTGCCCAGCGCCCGTGCAGCGCGCGCCGGGGGGTCTGCGGCCGAGGCTCTGCGGCCCCCAGCCCGACCCGGGTCTGCCGCAACCGCTCGGACGGCGCCTCCTCACCTACAAACGACTCCTCCTCGGCGCGCGGCCGGACCCCCTGCGCCTCGGTGCGCGCGTCCTTCCGCCGTCCCGCGGGCCGCTGTCTGTCCACTGATCCGCGTCCCAGCGGCCCAACCTTGAGGGGGTGGGGAGCGTGCGGGGCTCGGCGGCGGCGCCGCTGCCTCCCCAGCCGCCTGTGCTCCCTCCGCAGCGCCAGACCGGCCGCGCGGCTGCAGCCCAGAACCTGACTCACGGCGGCGGCGGCGGGCGCAGCCACCTCCCCGCCTCCCGCCTCCTCCTGCCGGGAGGGTGGGGGCTGCGGGCCCGGCCGGAAGCCGCGACCCCGGGGAGTTGCAAGGTCCTGCAGGGATGGGACCCCTACAGCGCCCGACCAGGGTGCCGGCGCCACCTCCATCTCCCCGGACCCGCTGTGTCTTCCTCCCCACCCGACCCGGCCCCATCCCTCTCGCGGAGCCCCCCGCCCCGTGAAAGACTAGCGGCTCCCGGAACCCTCTCTATCTGCCTCCCCAAGAGAGACCCCCTTCCTATTAACGCTCTCCCCATCGCGATCTACCCCAGCGCCTGGGCCCTGCTGCCTCAAGGGACCCCCGCCCCTGGGTCCTGCCCTTCTGGCCTGTTGACTCTCAGTTCCAGCAGCTCAGTTCCCTCCTAAGGAAGCTCCAGTCCCCTGAGCCCCAGCAGGCCTTCTACCTGAGTGCCCATCTCTGCCCGTCCTGTCCCTAACCAAGTCACCAAGGCCCCCAATGCCACCCTCCAGTCCCTTCCCTCCTTAGCCCACCAAGTCCAGGCCCTCCGACAAGTTTCAGAGACCCCTACTCTGTTCCTTCCTGGCTGAGCCCACTTCTCCCATCGGAGCTCCTGCCCCCTTTCCTGGAGTCTGACTTCAGCCAGCCAGGGCCCCACTCCAGTTCACTCTCACAGTCTGGGAGCATGCGGCCTCTCCTGCACAGACCCCAGGTCACACTCCCTCTGCCCGCAGGCAAAGTGTCCCATTCCGAGCTCTGGTCCCATGCTGAGGTCCTGGCTGCTAAGGACACTTGTCTCCCTGAAGGCTGGTCCACTCACCTGCCCACAGCCTCTCTGCGATCCCTACCAGCCCTTCTGGGCCTGGTCCCCTGAGGCTTCTTTGTTTCCTGTGAATCATTTTCCTAACCAATGCTGGTCCTCCCAGCCTCAGCCGCCTCCGCTGCCCCACCACATCCTCACTCTCACGGTACGCTTGACCCCAACTGATCTTCCATCCCCATAACAGTCCGCATGAGTCCCTCCCCAAAGAGAAAACTCTGGCCTTGCCTCCCTCCCTCCCTCCGAGTCCCCCACTTCACCACACAGGTGCCCTAAACTGGGTCCTCTTCACCAACCTCCGGCTCCCACTGAGCCCCGACCCTCTCCAAAGTCCCCCGGAAGCTGAGGGTGCATGGCGGCCCCCGTTTCCCTCCCTCATCTCTCCCCAAGCCCTGTCTTCCCATGAAACTCCTTTCTCCTCTGCCTCTCTAAATTGGCCTCCTGTGTCTCCGCAACCCTCTTTCCTGTCTGGAAGGCCAGTCCTGCTTGGGGTCCTTCTGTCTGCCTGTGCCTGAACCCCAGGTCATCTCTGAACCCTTTCTCTCCCCAAACCTCTGTTCTGAACCCTGATCCTCTGGAAAAGCCCAGCCCTCTGCAAGCCCCTCCCCTTTCCAGCCTAGTCTCCACCCCTCATGCCTGGGCTGACCCCTGGCATAGCGTTATCCACAGCACGCCAGGAACCCACAGCACAGGGCTGATCTTAAATGATGCTGATAAACCCTAGTGAGCAGGAGAGGTCATCAAGCCTGAGGGGCCTCCTCCTCATCTCCTTGGGCACCCTGGCCATGCTCTCCCTGGAGCCCACAGGCCATGGGTGGAAGGGGCCTGCCAGAGAACCAGGGTTCCGTTCTCCCTCCCCAACTCCCTCCTCCTTTCCAAGGGCCTGGCCCAGGGAAAACTGGACCTGCTGTCCTCAGGCGGGGCCTGATCTTGGGGGCCTCCCAGGCTGTGTGTGGCCTGTGTACCACGCCCCCATGTCTCCCCAGCATCTGAACTGGGCCTACCTGACCAGCCACCACCTTCTGGGAGACACTGGCCTACCACACGGCCTCTCCCCAGTGCTGCCCCAGTCTGCCCTGAAGGCCTCGAGCAGTGAGGAGGCCTCCATAGGAGGAGAGGGTTGCCTGGGCCTGAGGGGCCAGGGCCTGCCCAAGGTCACTGGGTAGGTGACAGGGGAGCCAGGGCCTGCTCCCGGCCTCAGGCCACCTTGGGGCTGCCTCTCTCTGAGGCCAGGAAACACCACTGAGAGGGAGCCAAGGGTCACAGAGGTCACAGGGCAGAGCCAGGGCCCAGCCAAACAGCACAGCCAGCATTCATGTGACTGTACTGGGCTCCCCAAGGGCCTGGGCTCCAGCATACTCTCTGCTAGGGCTTTCTGGTTACAACCGTGTCTAGACAGGAGGGACTCCAGGGTCCAATCACCAGCTAGAAAACCAGAGGAGCCTGGGGTCAGACTCCAGGGCCCCGAGAATCCTGCCAGGCGGGAGGGAGCCCTCAGAGCAACCCCAGGGCAGCAGCCGTGAAGATGGGAGCTGGACGGAGCTGACAAGCTGCAGAGGGAGGGAGACGGGGAGAGTGGGACAGGGCGGGGACAACAGGGCACGGCTGCCTCCTTGCACCTCTCTGCCCCCCCCCCGCCGGGCCTCAGTGCACAAAGCATCTGACGACGGGACATTTGTCTCCCCAGAAGCCCTGCCAGGCCCTGCAGAGCTCTGCCGGGCTCTGCTCAGATTCCAGGAATGCCAAACGTTAGGCATGTGTTTCCAAGCCTCCGTGCCACCCCGGGTAAATGTTCTTGCTCCAGGTGTCTGCCGTGGTGTGACTCTGGGGTGCAAGCCCTGGAACCCCCTTGGGAGGAAGGCCAAGGCAGCCACCACCCTCAGGCGGAGGCATCAGGATAATGGCAAATGTCACATTCGCCTCATCTTCTAACCTGTTGGGGTGGGGCTCCAAGAGACTCCAGAGCTACTGATCCCAAAAGGAACTCTGCGCCCACCACCACATGCCCACAAACTCCTACTTAGCCCTTAAAACCCCATGGGCTGCTACCACTGCATCCAGGCAATGCTCCCAATCCCTCCCCTCCCAGCGGAACAAGCACACTGCCTTCATCAGCCTGGACATCCGTGACTGTGGCAACTGTGGCTGGAGGGGACTTCTGAGTCCAATCCCTGCAACCAGCGACCCTGGGCAGGCTTGACTGGCGCCAGCTCGGCTCACTGCGCACAAAGCTGCTTCTAGGGCCTGGGAAGCAAGAAGGCCCAGATAGGCCAGCCACCCATGCCACCTGGGGCCATTTCTTTCCCAGGATGAGAGGGCTACGGAGGGTGACTGGGAGGCCTGCTCTGATGGTCCCTGAGAGCGGAAACATCCTCTGTTCAAGTGCCATGGCTGCCTGGCTGGGCCACTTCCCTGAAATCACTCCTCAAGGCTGGCACTCATACTGGACACCCTGTCGGCCCCACCCTGCAGCCCCAGCCAAGGCCACATCCTGCCGGCCACTGCTCCAGACCTGGGAACAAGTCGGTCCCCGCTGGCCAACCAGGCTGGACAGCTGGCCACAGCCCTGGAGCCCATGGGCTGGGAAGGGCAGGGGGCCATAGGCCCAGGGCACCCCAAATGCTTGTCCTGGTGCTGCCCTGATTCAGCTGCCGTGCTGGCTTCGCACTACCCACCCCCCTCCCCATCCCAAGCTGGAGCCACCCCCACGCCCCCCGCCAAGCAGAGCACACCAGCACAGAGGGAAGGCCAACAACTGTATTTCCACATCAGCTGGGGCTCTCGGTCGCCCAAGGGGAGGACAAAAGTCAGCTGCAGAGGAAGGCTGACGCCAGCCCCCAGTCCCAGCCCCACCTCCAGGCCAATGCATGCCCCAGGGATGGGCTCAGTCCCAGGACCACCGCGCAGGCTCCAGAAGGTGAGTTTTGTCCCCTCACTCCTTCCAGCTCATCCTCAGGCCTCCACTGGCCTCATCCACAATGGGCCCAGGACACTGGACAGGTAGGGGTGGCAGAGCCCAGCTGGGCCCAAGCTGGGCAGAGGGGCCCAAGCTCGGCATAGGGTCCCTCGGGTAGGGCAGGTTTCCAAGGGAGGGTCCGGGAGGACGGCCTGGTGTGGGGTGGCGGCTCAGCCCAGCGGGTGCTGGTAGGGCTGGGGAAGGGACTCCCTGGAGATGAAGGGAGCCCCAGGATACACAAGCTCGGCTGCCAAGCTAGGGCGGGGTCTTCCAAGTGTATGGAACAGATCTGTGCTCCAGATCAGCGCTACCCCCACCAAACAGACGGACAGACGGACAGGCGGACAGGCGGACAGGCGGACAGGCGGACAGACGGACAGGCGGACAGGTAGGTGGCGTTTCTGAACCCAGGGAGGGGAAAACCACAGAACAAAACAGCAGGTCTGGCTTGGGCCGCCGGCTTCCAGGGCGCCCAGGGCAGTGGGCAGGCAAGTGTGTGAGTGTGTGTGACTACGTGTGGGAGGCGCCGGGGGGCCAGGGGCCTCCTCCTCCGGGACTCTCCTCTGTTTCTGTGCTGGCACGCCGACGGCTTGGGAACTAGAGGCGGGCAGCCTCGGCGAAGCCCACCCTGTTGTTGTCGCGGTCAAACACAGTGTAGTAGCGGCCGATGAAGACGTCGCCCAGGATCCAGAGTGGCCCGCTGGGTGGCGGGATGTCCATGCCCATGAAGCCGCTCAGGCAGAGGGTCTTCCCGGCCTGCGACACCTGGGATGGCCCTGGTGGTCAGCACGAAGGCCTGGCACCACCCGCCCCCCAACCTGTTGCCGGCTCACCTGGGGCATGCGCCCCACCCCCGTTCACCTGGGCCGTGTGCGCCCCCCGCCCGCTCACCTTGAGTGTGTGCACCCACCGCCCACTCCCCTGGGGCGTGTGCCCCCTCCGCCTGCTCACCTTGAGCGTGTGCCCCCTCCGCCTGCTCCCCTGGGGCGTGTGCCCCCTCCGCCTGCTCACCTTGAGCGTGTAGTCCTCTGGGGACAGCTTGTAGCCTTTGCCTCCCAGCTTCAGTGTGATCGTGGGCAGGGTGGACACCTTCTCACAGGGGATCATGTACTAAGAGGGATCACAGCGGTGTCAGGGTGGTAGTGGTGGCCTTGGGGCTCCCCCTACCAGCCCCAGCCCCAGTCCCCGGCGCTCACCTCGCCCTGAATCAGCGGCACGGCCCCGATAGCTTTCTGCAGCTCGCGCACCTCATCCACGGGGCCCACCATGAGGGAGGTGCCTGTGTCCACAATGGCCTCACAGCCCTCCTTGCACAGGGTCAGCCCGCTGGCCACCTCCACCCTGCAGGGAGTCAGGGCGTGAGGCCCCTGCCTGGACTGGAGTGTGCTCTGGAGGCCCAGTGTCCCCCCCTGGGAGCCCCTCTCCCATACCCCTCCCCTGGCTGGGTTGCACTCTCCTCCTCTCAGCGCTCCTGGATGCACAGGGGACCGTGAGTCCTCCAGGGCGAAGGGTGGGAGAGGAGACCCAGAGTGGCAGAGGGGATGATGGTGATGGGCATGGAGGGCATGGAGGGCATGGAGGGGATGGAGGGGCATGGAGGGATGGAGGGATGGACAGATGGAGGGGATGGAGGGTCATGAAGAGTCACAGAGGAATGAGGGGATGAAGGGCATAGAGGGATGGACAGATGGATGGAGGGGACGGTGGGTCATGGAGAGTCACAGAGGCATGGAGGGCATGGAGGGGATGGAGGGATGGGGGGGATGGGGGGATGGAGGGATAGAGGGGATAGAGGGGATAGAGGGGATAGAGGGGATAGAGGGGATAGAGGGGATGGAGGGGATGGGGGGCATGGAGGGGCATGAAGGGCTGGTCCGACCCCATCTCTTTCTTGCCCAGCTCCACCACTCCCCACAGGCACCCCCACCTGCAGAACCTGGTTCCTCCAGGGTCCCTGCATGCCGCTCCCACCCACAGAACCCAGGGGAGCGGACTGCAGCCACTACTCACTGGTCCAGGTGGACCTGCCAGTAGGCCTTGCGGGTGACGTTCAGGTAGGACAGAGAACCCCTGTAATACTTGGAGTCCGTGCCGTCCAGCATCAGCTCACCCCCGGGCTGCGCAGTTGGGTCCCTAGGAGGAAAGGAAGGGAGGAGTCAGCTGCCACTCCACCCCCCAAGCACAGGAGGGCCAGGTCAGGAGTAAGGGGGTGAATGTGGCAATCGGGGAGAGCTTCCTGAAGGAGAGGCTTTCTGGACCTGCAGGGATGGAAAGGCCCAGAAGGCAGGAGGGACGGACTCCCTTCTTCCTGGGGTGGGGCTGCTCTGCGTGGGCCCAGCCTGCCCCAGAAGAGGTTTTCCTCAACCCTCAGGTTCTCCTGGTCTGCTCAGGAGCCAAGGTTCAGCCCGACATCAGGGTCAAGGCTGGGGGCAGACAAGGAAGTGAATGCCAGGAGCCCAATGGGGAGGACCCTGTCTGTCTGTCTAGAAGAAAAACCAAGGAAGGCTTCTAGGAGGGGGTGATGGCACAATCTGGGAAGTTGGGATGGCTGGGTCCGGCCTCAGGGCCTCTGCACTGGCTGCTCCTGGGAACAGCCTCCAGCTGCACGCCCACTCATCTCCCCTCATCCAGACCAGCGATGGCCAAGGTGCTTCTGGGCAGCCGCACACTGCACTTCCCAGGACCTGCAGCCCGCGTCGCCTGGGTTCGTTTCCAAACATGACTCAAGTACAAGCTTTCAACGCAGCAAATCCTGCCAGTCCCGTTAGAGAAGCTCTCTGTGTCGGGTGGTCCTGCCATCCCGCCAGGGCATCTGCAGCTAAGCTGGCCACCATCCCGCTGCCCGTCACTCGAGGCAGCACCAGGCCTGACCCAGTCCTCCCAGCACTGCTCAGGGCCTCCGCCCTCCTCCAGCCTCCTCCGCCTTTGCTTCCTGTCAACACCTCTGCAATCCCAAGTGTAGAAACCCGATCAGTGCCTTCCACCCCTCCTCTCCTCACCAAACATGCTTTCAGAAGCCCTCAGACCCTCCCTCCTGCCTGGCTTCACTTCCTGCCCAAGCCGCTGCCTTGAGACTACAGCTGGGCACTCACAACTGTGTGCCCCTCCCCCCACCTGGCACTCAGTCTGTGTGCCCCTCCCCTCACCTGGGCACTCACCCTGTGTGCCCCTCCCCCACATGGACATTCATGCCTGTGTGCCCCTCCCCGCACCTGGATACTCATACCTGTGTCCGCCTCCCCGACCTGGGCACTCAGGCTGTGTGCCCTCCTCCCCCATGTGGGCACTCATGCCTGTGTGCCCTCTTGCCCTCAGGGGACCCCTCTTCACCTCGCTGCCTCGCCTGTGCCCCAAGGCTCCTGGGGAAATGGCCCAGCTGGTTCACCTGTGTCCTGGCCTCCAGTGAGCAGCTCAGCCCAGGGTGTTGCTAAGGAGTATTCACTGCCCAGGCAACGGACAGAGTAAAGAGGCCAGGCCAGCCCCACGGCCGGAATTCTGCCAGCAGTGCCCCAAGGTCAGGTGTCAGGCCCAGAGACTCCAAGTGCCAAGTGAGCCACATGAGGTGAACCTGCCCCTGTCAGCCCTGGAGAGTATGGGGCAGTGACCAGGCACAGCTCAGGGCAGGAGGCCGCCGGCTGACACGCTGCCCACTCCCAGGGCAAAAGCCCCCAACCCCCAGTCACCCCTCTTATGTGGAACCCTCCGCTCAGGTCTGCCCGAGAAGAGGAAACTAACTAAGGCCGAGGCCCCCTTCCCAAGGTGGCCTGACCATGGCTCACCCATGCTGAAGCAGTGGCAGCAGGTGGGGACCCTGGGGGAGAACCTTTTTCCCAGAAGGAAGGGCCCCCCTATGCTCCTCCTAGAGGGCAGCCAGCACCTGCTGGGGACACCCACAGAGCTGCTCGCTGCGTGGTGCCGGGGACCCACACCCACCCAAGTCACCTCCCCAGGGACTCCCAGGCCCCTGGCCACCATGCCCCCTCTCCACCATCAGCAACCCGGGACCAGGACCACACATGCCCATCACCAGGTCCAGGGACCAACGGGCCAACTGAACCAAGAGGAACCGCCATGACCCCCGAACTGGGTCTGTTCTCATAGGAGGGAGGCCCAGCTGCCAAGGTCCCAGGACCCACAGCCTGGCCTGAGCTCCTCCCACTGGGAGACCCCGTCCAAACAGCTTTCTCTGCGATCTGCTTACTCCTCTGCAGAAGGGTGGCCAACCCCTGCCTCCCGGACACCCTGAGGTCAGAGGTCAGGAGCTCTGGCCACAGCAGCAGGGAGGGGGCGGCACTGAGTGGGGGTGCCCGGGAGGCTCCCAGCCCAGCCCCGCCCTGCCTCCCAACAACGCTGAGCGAGGAGAGCAGGAGGGGAGCGGGAACCCACGCGCCCACCTGTTCAGGTAGAAGGAGAAGATGTTCTGGTCCACCAGCTTCTGCTGCATCAGGTTGTCGAAGACGGGCAGCACGTTGTTGACGGAGATGCGGGGGTAGGCCATGCCCAGGATGCCGTGGAACTTGGCTGCGATGAAGGTGATGCCTGGCTGCTTGATGGCCTCCCCGAAGACCTGCCTCTCCACTTTGACACCGCCCAGCGCAGCGGTTGATGACGCTGACTTGCAGGGCACCTGCAGGCCAGGGCAGCGTCAGTGGGTCGCAGACAGGCTGAGCCCTACACCCCTCTCTGAGCATGAGGCTGCGCTACAAAACCCAGCTCAATGGATGCCCCTCATCTCACACACGATGGGGCCCAGAGGGCCCAGCAGAAAGGGCTGGAAACGGTGAGCTGAACACAGCGGGGGATGGGGACGCGGGGTGAGGTGGAGCCCTCTTCGTGGGAGACTTTGGGGCTTGGTTTTAAGGAGATGGGAACCAGGCAGGAGCACAGACGGGGAGACCCCTTGCCCCGCTCCCTGCTCTGACCTCTTGATCCCACCACCACCAACAGGCAGGTCCTGCTCCTGCTCCTGCCCTCAGCCTTGGGAACAAGAGACAACCTGGGCCAGGAGCCCGAGAGACGGGGAAGCCGCCAACCCCAACCCAGACTCACAGCCGTGCTGCCCCCGTCCCCGTCTCTGACTGTCCCCTCCCCCAGCCCTGGATGAGGCTGCAGAAAGAGAACAGGCCAGAGCAGGATGTGGGAAGGGAACGACAGCTTGAGGCTGACACGGGGCGGAGGAGGCGGAAGAGGGCAGACGGGGCAATTTCCCGTTCAGGCTGAGCAGGGCCCAGAGGAGAGGGCTCCGAGGAGCCCCCTGTACAGACCTGGACTCCAGCCCAGCACGGACTGTTAGGAGCAGGTCCAGCTGGAGGAAGGGGCCCTCTTCCCAGGTCCCTTGGCCTGCAGGGGGCTCTGCTGCCCTCCTGGCCTGCTCCGGAGCTGGGGGCTGTGTCACCGTCCCACTACTCCTGAACCCCTTGCGGCCTGGCCCACCCCCAGCAGACAGCTCCGAGGTGAGAATTCACTGAGGCCCAGGCAGGGTGACAAGGGCCAGCTCGCCCTCTCCTTGGGCAGGGAGCAGCTCTGCACAGGGCCCTGAGGATGGTGGAGCCCAGGCAGGGCCCCCAACAGCCACTGCTGCTCCCCCTCCCTTACCCTCCCAGGCTCCTGCAGGTGACTCTCTGCCAGCAGCCCCCACAGCGGGTTCCTGGCAATCCTCCCAGCCCCAAGCCTCCCCAACCCCTTGGCCTGCTGCAAGGACCCTGTGCAGCCCCAGGCCCAGCCCTCAACACCTGCTGGCACCTCAAACCCAATGTGCCAAAAAAAGCCCAATCAATCTGCCCTGTCCTCCCTCCCACTCACTGTGGCCTGACTCCGGGGACCCCTGCCCCTGCAGCCCCCAGGTTCGAGGCTGTCTCTCCAGCCTGCACATGACCAGGCCCATTCCCAGGCCCCTCCTCATCCTGCTGACCGCCCCGGCCACCTGAGGGCTGGGGTCGGCCTGGGATCACCGAGCCCTCCCTTTCAACCACATACCCACGGTGGGTGAACCCCACAGCCTGGCACCCTGGAGTCCTGGGAAAGGCCCCAGAGGGACTCACCGACACAGTGTCCTGGCTCAGGTATCCGGAGAGGCTGCCCGAGCCGTAGTGGATGTCAAATGAGGTGCCATTCTTCACGTAGGTGCTGGACTTGTCGCTGTTGTATTTGTGGTGGAGCCCTGCCCCGGGCGAGAAGAGGGCCCGCTGGTCATCCCGCAGCCCACGCCACGGCCACGGCCCTCCCATCCCCCTGCAGTCTACCATGGAGCCCGCTCCCCGCAAGCTGCCTCCCCAGGGTGGGATTTGGAGGGGATCCGAGGCCCACCATCGTGCCAGAGCCCCAGGACTGTGGGCTGTGACCCCGGGCCTCCCTCCCAGCCACAGCTGGCTCCCTCCGCGGCCACCCCAGCCCCAGCGCTGCTGAGAGCAAGACCACAGCTGGTGGTTCACCCAGAAAGCCAGTGTCTGGAGCAGGGTGGAGGGCCGGCCTGGCTCATGGGGCCAAGAGGCGGGAGAAGTGCATTGCCCAAGTGATTCCTGAGGCAGCCCTGTGGCGACATCCCAAAAGGGCAGGACCTGGGAGACGGGGCCGGGGTACGTGACTCACAGCAAGCGATGTCCAGCAGTTTGCAGTGGATGGAGGGGACCCACAGGTTGGAGGAGCCCGTGTCGAAGACGACCGTGAAGCACTGGGGAGGCGTCCCGATGCCGATCTCCCCGTAGTACTGGGCCTGGCAGGGGACAGGGTCCGTCAGGGATGGGGAGGGGGCCCTCTCTCCCCACCAGGCCTCAGAAGGCCCGGCTGTCCCCAGAGCCAAACCCTGAAGCCTGAAGGCCCATGCTGGAGGGACGAGCATCATGGGGCCCACAGCTGCCAACAGCCACCTACTCCAACCGGCTCAGCCTGCAGGGAAGATGGGCCAGGTCTCCAGCCCTCAGTCCTAATGCCCACAGGTGCTTGGGGTCTCCAGACCTCTGGGTTCTGCCACCTACCCCTGCTCGACACATGGTGAGGCTGAGGACTTCCCCACGGAAAAGACAAGGCCGGAGGTCAATCCAGGGTGGGGACAGATGTGGCCCTCGGCCTGAGCCCCAGGTACAGGAAGGGCCTGCCTGGAAGACTCCCCTGGTGGCCTGGGGTCCAGGGCCTGAGAAGGGAAGTGACTTCCTCCCCAGGTTGGGACCGTATCAGGGTCTGATTCTGGGTGTCTCAGTGCCTGCCCTGCCCTCCAGGGTGAACCCCAAGCCTGGAGGGCTTCCAGGCAGAGGGGTTCAGCTGGTCAAGGGGAGAAGGTAAGCCTTAGTCACTGCCTGCCCAGCAACCCTTCCTTAATGGCCCAGGGCCTCAGTTTTCCCATGTGTACACAGGGATAGCAGGGACAGGTGGGGGTGCTGACTCAGGGATCAGGCAAGTACAAGGGGTCCCACGCCCACTGAGCATCTCAGGAGGCAGAAAGTAAGAGGGTCCTGGAGTTTGGGGTCGCCTGGGTGCCCGCTTCCCCCAGGAATAGAGCCTGGGCCACTGTCAGCCACCAGATTCCTGGCACCAGCCCAGCCCGATGTTTCTCCGACCGCCTGGCTTCACAGAGCAGCAGCAGCTGCTGACTCATGGCCCCACAGAAGTGACCACTGGCGGGGGGACACTCAGCAAATCTCCATGTGTGCGTGTGCATGTGTGTGCCTCGGCGTGCTCTCGCGCTAGGGCGATCAGGAACTGGCCGGTCGGGACCAGGCACACGGCACCCGGTTCCCCCCAGGCCCCCTCCCCCCAACCCACCCAGTCACATGCCTATGAGTCTCGGGCTTCCTGTCACAGCCAGGACTCGGGCCAAGCAGGACAGAGAGCAAGGCCCCCCCCACAGTGGGCCAGAGCCCCGAGGCTGGACAGCAGGCCCTGGCCTCGAACTGACCCCATAGAGCTGGGACAAGGCTGACCAAGCCCCAGCTTGCTAGGTGGCTTCCAGAGTGCTCCCCTTTGGATCCTGCTTCCCCCTGAAGGAGGCGTGGGCACAGGAGGGGCTGCTGCCAGAGGAAGAAGATGGGGAGGGGCTGGAGAGGGGCCACGAGTCACCATGGACCCCCTGGCAGGACAGCAATAAAGACAGGCTCCAGGGCAGCCGGCCACACCCAGGCAGACCCAATGACTGCCCCCCGGGCGAGCTGGCACCGAGGCCCGAGGCCACCCTCAATCACCCTCCCAGGCCCGAGATCCTGCAGCCACAGGGGCCAGTGGCAGGAGGTCCAGGATGGGGAAGACAGGAGTGTGGCTGAGCCTGGACGCCACCCTGGCCAAGTGAGTCACTCAAACTGTGCCCCTGAGAACAGGAGGCGGGAGTGTCCCCACAGTCCCAGGGAGCTCTCCGGAGAGCGGCTCCGCTCCCAGCAGGGCTAAGACCCCATACTCACGTCCATGTAGTTCTTCAGCACCTCAGGAATGGGCCCCTCGGTCACGGCCTGCATCGCCTGGGAGTACTTCGAGATGGGGCCTTTGGCAATCAGGTCCTCCACAGGGCCCCCCATCTCCGACATGGTCCGGCGGATGGACGTGAACTTGTGCAGCGGGATCCTGTCAACCAGGGGTTGGGGCATATCAGGGAGGTCCACCCGCCTGCCGGCCGAGGCCGCTAACATTACACATCCATCTGGAGGCCCCTGGGGAATCTCGAAGTCACCACAGCCAAAACCAAACTCCTGCCTGTCACCTGGAAACTGCTGGCCCACCTCCCCCGTCAGTGAAAGGCAACCCATCGCCCCCCCCGAGGTTGCACAGGCCACAGTCCTAGGAAGTGGCCACCCACCACCCACCTCGGCCCCACACACCCAACCTGGGGGCCAGTGTGCCCACCCCTCCTCTCCTCAGCCATTCTAGAGGCTCCAAAGCCCCCAAGGGCCTCCAGTCCTCCCTCTGCACCTGCTCTGGTCTCCTCCAGGATGGTGGCCAGCATGGCTGCTCAGGGTGCTGGCGGGCACCTGTCACTCCTGCCCAAAGTGCTCTGAGGTAGCCCACTGTACCCAGCCCCTTCACACCTGCTCTCCACCCAGAGACCAGCACGAAGGTGGCCCCACCTCCAGGCTGGCACTGGCAGCTCTGCCTGACCTCCTAGGTGGCCTCCTCTGGCCATGAGATGGGCCCTCCACGCCACCTCCAGAAGCCCTCCTTGACTACCTATCCTCCTCCACATGGACCCTATGGCTGTCCAGTGCCCTCATCCCACACCCGTTCCTGTGCATTGGCCCTTCTCCTCTCTCCATGCGGCTCCACGAGGTCCAGGACTGCACCCGGGGCCTTACAGGCTTCTGTGCTCCCCCACCCACCACCCTGCTTCCTCCGACAGCTGCACTCAGGGCACCCCTCCAGAGCCCTGTCACCCAGCACACCACCCGCCAGGGTGCAGGAGGGAGCTCCAGACTGAGGTCAGGGGTCCTGAGTTCTATACACAGGAAGTAAATAACAGAGAGGGGGTCCCTGTCCCTTCCCCAGGGCCACTGGCCTTCCCCTTGGTGTGAACCAACTCCTTGTTCCAAAGAAGCTCCCCTGGGCTTTTCATCACCTGGAGAAAACCTATCCCCTGCCCCAGGGACTTGAGAGTCCAAGGTCATAGCCCGCTTTTCCTGGCACATCACGGGCGTGGTCCAGGAAGATGAGATTATTGCCTAAAAGCTGATGGGCTGGAAGAGCCCCAGGTTCTGTCCTGGGGGAGGGACATGCCCTCCAGGGACCCAGGAAGCAGGTGTAATAGTATCAGTTGCACAAGAGCTGGAATCAGGTGAGGGCTTGCATTCAGCTACCCTGCCCTCCAAGAAGCCCCAGGATCCTTTCCCCACTGCTGTGTCTGTCCTCCTTGGAGAGGGGAGGCCTGTGGATAGGCTGGCAAGGTCAAGGCAGGCTCAGGCTTGTGGCTGCTCCCCCACAACGACTTTAATTGGGGTTACCCGCCCCCGGGCCGTTCCCCACAGCCTTTGGTGAGGCTCAGTCCTACCCAGCCCACTGCTCCTGCTGGCCCAGCCAGCTCCAGCCTCTGCAGCCTTCTGACCTCACCCACCTGCCCAGGGGCAGTGGACCCATCTCAGGTCCCAGGTCTCCCACAAAGGCAGAGCAAGGGTGGGGCAGGTGCCCAATGGGATGGGTCAGCATATCCCTCCTGGGAATGCAGGCTGCCTTGCAAGAGCTGGGGAGGGGAGTCAAGGAAGCCGACTGCAGCAGCGGCCCTCCTCTGCCCAGCTGGTCAGGTATGTCGGTGGCCCAGTCAGGTATATCCAGGCCCAGTCGGTGGCCTCACCTGGCACAGTGGCTCGGCCTGAGGAGCCTGTGGGCCTCACTGCAGCACAGCCCCAGGCCCGGGGTGGGTGAGCCGGCCCACTCCCTATGCCTCCTCCTCTCCCAGGGACATGGGAACTCCTAGGGTCTGGAGGGGCCTTCCAGCCCAGGGCCTGTGATAAGAGCCGCAGGAGCAAACTTTTAAAGCCCCCAGTTCACAGGTGGTAAAGGGGTCCCTAATGAAATGGACTCGCCCAGACTCGGGGGCTCTGGGGACTGCACCTAGGTCTCCAGTAAAAAGGGCGCTCAACACAGACTCCCAATTCCAGCTGCCCCGAATGAGCACTACCTCCCCCAGCCCCGCCCCATCTCCAGGGAGGCTGCGGTCAGTATGCAGTCCTCACGCCTCCCCCTGGCCCCTCAAGGTACACCTCAGGGTGGCATGGGGAGAGGCGTCTGGCACCTCTGCCCCAGGTCCCCTGCACCTCCGGAGCCCGGCGCCCGGTAGGCGGGTGGGCCGTGCAGGAGACCGCGCAGGGCGGCACAGGTGCATTCCAGCGCGGGGGGTGCAAGGGGCTCGTGGGGTCCCCAGGGGAGCGCGGAAGTCACCACAGGCCCCGGGACCTCGGGGCCGCGACCCCTGACCGTCCCCTAAGCCCCGGACCCTGAGGCTTCACCTGACGAGCGCGGCGGCAGGCGCAGCCAGGATGCAGAGGGCGAGCAGCAGAAGGCTGGGGGGATGCATGGCGGCGGCCACCGGGTCGGAGCGGGGCGCCGAGGCCGCGCGCTTATAGCCGGGATGACGGCGCAGTTGGGCCGGATCAGCTGACCCGCGTGTTTGCACCCGGGCTGGTCACGTGGGCGAGGCTGGCGTGCGCCGGGCGGGGCCTGGGCGGGGCGACCTCGGCGCACGCGCACAGCGCCGAGGAGTGCGCCCGCCACGCCCACCGCCCGTGGGGTCAGCCCGGCTCCGCTTCTGGGGTCTGGAGGATTCCCGTTTCGGCCTGGCAGGGGTCGTGGGGCGGCCCAGCCTGGAGGGCCCCGCGGGGTGACCCCTGTCCCGGCCGCCGCGGCCGTCCCCGCGTCTAGGCCTACGCGGGGCGCTGCGCCCTGGGCTCCTGCACCTGCTCCTCCCGGCGCCCCCTCGCCCCCTGCGAGACGCTCCCAGACCTCCTGCGTGGAAGCCTCTTGCAAACCAAGGTTAAATTCAAAGTCCCCAGCCCACCGAATGGACCCTCCGCTCCTCCTCAGGGCTTCCAGAGAAACCTGGAAAACCAGCTCAGGCCCTGCGGCGAAGGGGGTCGGACCTGCTCCGCCCTCTCCCTCTGGGCGCTGTGCGTAGACTCAGGCCTCACCGATGGCTCTGTAGCCTCCAGATCCCGAATTCCAACCTCACCCTGGCACAGCCTCACGTGGCAGACATCTGGCCCGAAGGCAGGCAAAGTATTCCATCCCAAAATATATTCCTTTCTCAGTTTTTGATATGGCCCTGTACAGCTGTCTCTGGAGGGGGCGAAATTCACATTTTCTAGAGAAGCTCCTTCCCTAGGAGGTCGGGCACTTTTTAGCCACTCACGTCAGCTCTTTGTTTGTTTGTTTGTTTGTTTTTGAGACACAGTCTGGCTCTGTGGCCCAGGCTGGAGTGCAGTGGCGCGATCTCGGCTCACTGCAACCTGTGTCTCCTGGGTTCAAGCGATTCTCCTGCCTCAGCCTCCCGAGTAACTGGGATTACAGGTGTATGCTACCACGCCTGGCTAATTATAGTATTTTTAGTAGAGATGGCGTTTCACTATTTTGGCCAGGCTGGTTTCAAGCTCCTGACCTCAGGTGATCTGCCTGCCTCAGCCTTCCAAAGTGCTGGGATTACAGGCGTGAGTAATCCCACTTCAACTCTTTAGGCAAAACTTAACTCAACCACTTGCCAATCAGGAAATCTTTGAACCCCTATGACCTGGAAGCCGCCCCTGCCAACCCTGTTTCCAGGCTGATCCAGTGTATACCTCACATGTGTCAATTTATGGTTTTGGACTGCAACATCTGTCTCTGTAAAATCTGTAAAACCAGGCCGGGAATGGTGACTGTTGCTTATAATCCCAGCATATTCGGGGGCCAAGGTGGGAGCATCGCTTGGGCTGAAGAGCTTGAGATCAGCCTGGGCAACATGACGAGACCCTGCCTCTACAGAAAAAATTGAAAATTAAAAAAAGAAAAAAGTATAAAACCAAGTTGTTACCCACCCACCTTGCTCACATATTCTCAGGACCTGCTGAGGCGGTTTCGCAGGTCATAGTCCTCACATTTGCTCGGAATAAATCTCTTCAAATATTTTACAGTGTTGGGCTTTTTTTCGTCAACACTCCCTATACACAGGTACCCAGATGGGCCTCATCCTTACTCTCCAAGTGTCCCCTGCCCAAGTGCCCACTCTCCACCTCCTCAGAGCAGCACCTCACTGGGCCCTGCCCTGGCCACCCTGGGCCCTCCTCCTTTGGCCCAGACTTGCCTGTCTCTAACGTGGCACCATCCCTGGAACCCCGTCTCCAACGTGGCACCGTCCCTGGAGGCCCATCTCCAACGTGGCACCGTCCCTCTAGGCCCTGACCTCAAAGCTGAGCAGTGGAACCAGGTCAGAAACTGGGTCTCCTGACACTGAACCTGCGGAGGCCACGGTGACAGCTGCCCCAGGACTTCACCATTCTTGTGTGCCCTGGTCCTGCATGGCATGGGGGACTGAATTAGGCCTGTTGGAGGGGAGGGCCCAGTCATTCCCCAGATACTCTGGAGCACGCAGCCAGGCGGGAGATGGAGCCGCTGTAAGTAGGAAAGGGATACTGGGACAAATAATTTTAGATAGGTCCAAGTCATACAGGAAACGGAGCCAGGGGATGTGCTAAACAGCGACCTCCGCAGCAAGGCCCCTCCAAGAAGGTGGCATCTGAGCCTGGACCCAAATGAAGGATGCTTCCCCAGGCTCTCACCCAGGGTGCATTTTCTCCTCCCAGCTCCCTGTGAGGTAGACGGGCCCCACCCCGCTTTACAGAGGCAGCAGAGTTCTGTGGTTCTCGGTGGGCGGGATTGAAATTCCCACCTTTTCTGTAACCAAATATATCAGGACCCTGGCCCTTGCAGAACCTCCCCCAAGCAGGGTCTGCCTGATGGCCGCAAATGAGTGGCCGCCCCCTCAGCCCCGCCTTCCCATCCATTTAGAGCCCTTCATCTGAGGGGTTTCTAAGCCCGAACACAGAAGCCCAAGCAGGCAGACACCCTTGCCCTCAGAAGCCGCCCAGCTGGTGGGGGGCCACGGTCAACCTGGACCTGGCACCTGGGGTTATCACCTGCTTTCCAGCGGACTGGCATCTCGGAGATGTCAGCTGACCCCAGGTCGACTGGACTCCAGCAAGGGGAAAAATGGTCCCAGCTAGTGTCTCCTGAGCCGCCCTGCTCGGTCCCTGGGCCCAGCAGTGGATGAAGCGTTTGGTGTTGAGGATACTGAGATGTGCACCTGTGAGGACGCATGCTAACAGCGCGTGGCCGACGCTCCGCCCAGAGGCCCCGGTGAGCCGGCGAGGCTGCAAGCCAGCGGGTAGTGCGGATGGCCAGTGGGGCCAGAGGCACGACATGGTGGCGAGCTGTGGGGTGTATCGGCCGGTGCTAGCCAGGCTAAGAGCCTTGGACCAACTCCTGGGACAATGGGGCACTGCTGAGCAAGGACCCTCTGGGGGCCCCAAGGGTGGAGAGGCCCCATCCCACTGCAGAGACCATCTGTTAGTTTATTACAGAGGGGGCATTCTGCCTGGGCCCCCTCGGCTTCCCAGCTCCTGGAGCAGAGTCTGGCGCGTGGTAGGTGCCCAGTAATTATGTGTGGGATGAATGCCTGGGTGTTCAGGGTCCCTGAAGGACTGACCCACCAGGCGGGGTGGGACCCTGCAGGCATACTGGGTGAAGGTCAAGGGGGTGGCTTCTAATCCTCTTGCCTCTGGCTCACCCAGGCAGACCCTCACAATCTGGGCCTCACCTCTGTCCCTGGAGAGTCAAGGTTGGGCTAATGGTCTCTGGAGCCCTTGCCTGCCCCTGCTAGGAGCTGAGGGTGCAGAAGTGACCCCTGACCTCCTTGTCTGGCTCAATTCCCCAGACTTCTGCACCTGCCAGGCCAATTCAGGAGACCCTCTTCCCACCAGCCTGCCTTCGGGGCTCCTGGGCCAGTGGGCGCCTGAGTGTGTCCAGGCCCTGCCTCTGGCAGAGTGCAGGGGACAGGTCACTTTTTCATCTTTCACACTCTCATGCTGACCACATGCAGGGACACGGACTCCATCTGTGGGGTGCTCCGCCCACCTGGAGAGAGGAGGCAGGAGGTGGGGGCTGGGTCCAGGCTCCATCTTGGCCTCTGCCATCGCAGCCCATTGAGCTTCCCACCACGGAGGGGCCCCAAGCTTCTCTCTGGGAAGCCAACCACAGGACGGGGGTCATGGCTTCTCCAGCTGCCTCCTGGCTGTTTGGAGAGTCAGGGAATCACAGGATGGCAAAGTGCCTGAGAGGGAAGGGGCAGAGAAGGGAGTCAGACCTGCTGGGTGCCCACTGCATGCTGACACTTCCTAACAGGGGCAGGCAAGGGTTGGAGGCTATCAGCCCAACACTGCCTCTCCACGGGGAGTGCTGAGTCCCAGACTGGGAAGGGTCTGCCTGGGTGGGCCAGTCCCTTGGGGGCCCTGAGCACCTGCTCATTAATTCAACCTGTGAGTCTCGGGCATCTACCAAGAGCAGGCGCTGCTCTAGGAAATCGAGAAAACAGCAGAGAAATTCCCGCCCTCGTGCCATTCATATCTAGACAGGGGTGGGGTGGGGAGGTGTGTGGAGGGGCAGACATTAAAATGAAGTGGGGGGGCCCACACAGGGCTTGGAGAGTGGAACATGCCGAAGAGGAGTCTGCTGCAGGGCACAGGGAGGGGCAGATGAGGGCCCTGAAGGAAGAGAAGCCTCTTCTAATCAGACCTTTTTTGAGATGGAATTTCATTCTGTTGCCCAGGCTGGAGTGCAGTGGCGTGATCTCCACTTACTGCAACCTCCACCTCCCAGATTCAAGCAATTTTCCAGCCTCAGCATCCAGAGTAGCTGGGATTACAGGCACATACCACCATGCCCAGCTAATTTTTATATTTTTAGTAAAGATGGGGTTTTGCCATGTTGGCCAGGCTCATCTTGAACTCCTGACCTCAGGTGATCTGCCCACCTTGGGCTCCCAAAGTGCTGGGATTACAGGCATGAGCCACCCTGCCAGGCCCTCTAATCAGACTTGAAGGAGGTGATGAACCAAAGGCCTGGTCAGGAGGCGCTGACAGGAGAACAGGCGAGCAGAGGCCGTGAGGCAAAGGGAGCCAGACTGGAGGCGGGGAGGAGAGGAAGCCGTCTGAGGTCAGAGAGAGGCAGTAAGAAGGGGTGAGACTCTGGATGCACTTTTAAGGTAGGGCCTTTTGAAAGAATTTCCAGGTGGATTATTCGAAACCGCCTTTGCAAAATTAGGGCTGAGACAGTGAAAGAGCTCTAATTTAATCAACTTCATCTTGCTTCTAATTTCAAGCTGTCCTTGTTCATTCCTGGGTGTAGGCTGAACTATCTTTGAGAGGAATTTAGTTTATAGTTTAAACAAAGACGTTAACAGCCCTTTCCCAAAGCAGACCTCCTTCTTGCCTGGGAACTAGATTGCCTTTGTAGGACTCACGTTAGCCACATGATTAGAAATTATGGTTTAGGAGTCATGCAGCCAGAGGCTACAAGATTCCGACCCTCCCTAAACTGCTCCTAAGATCAGTGCTCAAGATACTTTGCAGACCCTGCACTTGATGGATCAGCTGGCACCACCCGGATCAATAAACTGG